ATCACTGATGTTGTGTAAATGGTGTGAATTAATTTAAAAAAATTATAGTGATGTAAGATATAAAATACAGTATTTTTTAAATCTGTCTTTATGTTCTTGGTATTACAATATTATTATTATTATTATTAAGAATTGTCTATGCTGTGGATGGTGCAGACCTTCACATTTTTCATTTATGTCCATCATGCTTTGTCCTCTTTGCATGCTCGGTTTCTTTGTACTTCGCAGAAATTTTATAACTTTATTTTAGGGATGTGGTTAATATTTTTCAATATATTTGAATTAATTTACATAAAGAAGATAACTTTTGTGATCCTTGTGTGGCTGTTAATGTAAGGAAGCATTCTGTTTGGGGAGATGATGCTGACAATGTGGAATGTATCAATTATATCTCTACTCATGAACTGCGAACTTCGAGCACAGTGTACAGATGAGATTTCCTTGACACAAGAAGTTTCACAATGAAAGAACTTGAGTAGGAATAAGCCAATAGTATTAAAGTCATATTTTGTTAACCAGACTGTTTTTAATTTAGGAATGGGTATGTATATTTTTCTCTTGGTTTAAGTAATGATGCTGTACCAACCGCATAGTGTCAAGAGTGAAACGACAAAATGATTATTATACATGATGACTTGAAAACAGCACGGTAGGTGACAGTTGTGACATATTGAAATGTACTGTAAAGTACATTTTCGGGGTTTATGTACAGGACACAATGAAAATCTTATGGCCTCACTCAAGATAGTTCGTCTTCTGGCAAAGATCGAACCTGGAACCTCAAAAATGAGAAGGAGGGCTGGTAATATGTAAACAGTGGTTGTTTTAATATAATGTACAACATGCTTAACACACATAAAAATAATTCATGTTACAATCACTGCTGTTTTTAGAAACCATGTGTAATGGTGATAATTTATATTTGATGATGTAAACGTACTACAGAAACAGGATGATAATTTAGACAGTACTTTTCATTCCCTGGAGTCATTTCTCTAACTGATATTTCAACATGTCTGTCTGATGCTTATGGACCTAATGACAGAAAATTTGCATATACTTATATGTTAATGTGATCATGATAAGTTTTCTTTTGCACTTCCTCTTTTCAAGCTTAAGATGTTTTTATTCTTGTGTCAGTAGTGGTGTATCGTTTGCATGTTTCAGAAATTAATTTCCTTCTAGTAGTAAGTATTTGCCTGGTACTCATCACCCATGCTTTTCATCTTTTGAAATATAGGCAGTTAAACATACACAGAATTGATCATGTACCATTATTTACAACAAAAATTGTTTTTAATGTGACATAAAATTTGGGTAGAAATGTAACACTCTGCTGACTCATTTTATTCAACGTATTGCCAGAATGCAAACATAAATTCTTACCCATCTCAGCAGAAATTTTGTGGTTTTTAAACTTGGAACTTAATAAGAACATCTAGTATAAGAGGTTTAATATGAGGTGTATCAGGAAGTTCCTGGACTAGGTAAAAAGATAAGTGCTGGCTTAACTTACTGAAATTTGGTTGCCATCTACTTCAAAATAGTCTCCTCCAGAACGTATATGGTGATCCTATAATTTTTTTCGCGCTTCAAGAGCACCATAGAAGTCATTTTCCTTAATGATGTCGAGTCCCGCTTCTGTTCCCTTTGGATGTCAGACACTGTTTCAAAATGTCGTCCCTTCAGTTTCATTTTCATTTTGGGGAGCAAAGCGAAATCACAGAGGGCTAAGTCTTACGAGTAGGGAGGATGGGGAACAATAACCATGTTGTTATTAGTCACAAACTCTGTGGTTTTCAAGGACATGTGGGCTGGCGTGTTGTCATGATGAAGGAGCAATGCAGTGCATGTTCAAATTTTCCGTTAAGATCTCATGACAAACTCTATAACTGATCTTACTGGTGTCTGCGAGCTCATGGATTGTTCGGTGACAATCTTCGTGGATGAGTTCTCACATTTTTCAACATTTTCTGTCTTTTTGCAGTTGTTTAAAGTTGATACTAACTTTGCTGACAAGCGGCAGTCGCTTGGTCGGTATAGTTCGCTTATGGACTAAAGGCCACAGATTTTTTTTTTTTTTTTTGCTGGTACTTGGTCTCCCTGAACGTTCATCATCTTCAGCTGACACATGACTGCCCCTTGAAATGTGAACGCCATTCAAAAACCTCTGTCTGGCTTAAAGAGTGTTCTTGATGCAAAACTTGATGCAGACACATTGCTCAATTTTGCCAGACAAAATGAAGGACGAAGTTGAAAAGCATTCGCGCGAAAACAGTGCATGTTCACAGCGCGGTGTCACTTGGAAGACTGATGCAATAGGCTTGTGGAAGTGTGACCTTGGCCTCCCCTCTCATCTTCTTACACTGAGACAGTTGCAACAATCACAGTCCAGGAACTTTCTGATACCACCTCGTACCACCTGCTGTCAGTGTTACAGTTACAAAATAAGCCAATGTGATCAGAATTTATGTATAGTTTACTGTTTGCATGGCATGTTGACAGAAGTGAGATCAGTTATTTGTAAGCAAAATTGAAATCCCAGTCATTGGAAAATATATATATATATATACTTTTTTTATCACTTCGTATTTTATCAGCTATAAATATAGTTGTGATGTAATGTTGTTTCACTACTGTGTTGTGTATTTTATACAAATCGTTTTACAGAATAATCTTATGTGGTACTTATGATTCAAATTTTGATATGGCCAGAATGACACTAGTACTCTTACAGTGAGACTGAATCAGATTAGCAACAATCTTCTCAGTGCATATAAACTTTTATTTCAAAGCGCCAAAACCCCGGGGGGGGGGCAGTAGTTATTTTTATATCAGTCAAAATAAAATATTTTTGATTTTAATAAGCCTTTGGAATTTTGTTCGATGCCAACCAGAGAATGGGTTTTTGATATCTGTGTGTCTCCTTTTTTCAACTTTGAATTAGTTGAATCATTTTCAGGAAATCTGGTATATAAGTTTTGCCATTGGCAGCCACCCTCTCACCATTCTTTTAGTTACCTGCAGTCACTAATGACAACATGGCATATGTGCCAGGCGGCAGTGAGCATAGTGCCTAGTTCCCTGCTATGGTGTATGATATAAGTCTCTGAAAATATGTAAATTCGTTAAGTAATTCTTTTGTAAAATGTATTGTAACTGCATGGCGGCAGTGTCAGAATAGTCTTAGCTTTCACTTTGTTGGCTGTAATGAACTAACCTAACTAGGCCTGTGAAATTCTGTATGGCAATCAATCATACATAAAGACAAATAGACATTGTGTTTGAAATAGTGTTTGTGTGTAAACAATTAAAAAAATTGCAATGGCATGAATCTTTGAGGTTATATATGACAAATTTAATGTAAATGGAATGTGTACTTAAGTAGGAAGTTCTTCACAGAAATACTAGTATATCAAAATAACAGCAACAGCAGTAACAACAACAACAACAACAACAACATTAATAAATCTATGAGTCTAGAAGCTACGAAAGGCAAATTTATCCCTGTGATTAACAAATTAAGCACTATGGCATGAAAATGTATGGGAAAGTGGAGGTATAGATCCACGTTTTCTTGACCTCGCCCCTAGTGGGAGGCGAATGGTCAGCTTCACGTCCCGACCGCTTTACCCCAGGGGAAAGGGCCCCTGATACCCATTTCATAATCTGGATGGACCCCAGAGCCAGTCTGGACGCTGTGGAGAAAATTCTTGACCCTACTGGGACTCGAACTCCGACACCTGGGTCATCCAGCCTGTAGTCAGTTGCTATACCAACTGCAACATACCGGACCAGAAATCTATACAGTATAAAAGTAGCTTCGCTTCAAAATCCATTTGTTGCATGAAATCAGAAATGCAGTATATGATATTCGTATCAGAATATTTTGTATGATAGGAATTAGTAGATGTTGCATGGCAGCATCCAAGCCAGAAGACCAACATTGGTACTCTTTATTGTAAGGAGAGTAAATGTGAAGCACAAGAAATGCTTTTTCTGCTATATAAATTTGAAATTTATATATTGTCGTGTCTTGGGTAGATCACGCGACAAATAACTTTATGCCGTTCTGGATCTAGAGAATTTATTGCACATTCGCTCCACTCTTATACAATTCACAGTTATACAATCTTAATCTTATACAATTCACTATCTCAATTGCTGTTCAACTACATCTCGGCGAATCCATTCAACTGTCTCCAGCGGCTGCTAGACTGAAACTGACTTGTTACTCTCTCTCTAGTAACTGGCTCAATACTCACTACTGAATGGTGTTCGCTGCTTCTTATTTGGCCTCGGCCGGACAACACAGAAAACAGTTATATGATTGGTACCACTGTTGCGTGATGCGTGTTTACAGATTTCCTAGCAACACTGTCGATAGTTGTTTACTGCTGTGTAGTAACCGCGGTATCCCTTGTTACGTCACCACAGCAATGGTTGCTTGACACAGTTGCTCCTCTGTTACATCACAGGCGGGGGAGGGGGTGTTTACTGAGCATTGCACACTGTTGGAAGGAAAGGGGGTATGTGACGTCACTCGCGAGACCACAGAGTTCATGTGACCCCCTACTTCCCGTTGCGCTATCCATGCCAAAAGATAAATATCTGAAACATACCTTCATTGCCATTTCATTCTCATGATGCTTGTTGGTGAAACCAGAATTCAGTCCAATGAAAACTTAAGGTCTGTTTTTGTGCATTAACAATGGAAGTGTTGTCAGACTAATTTTGGTTTACTCTGTTTTTCTTATAAAAACACAACTGTGAAATAAAAATAGAATGAGCTTCAAATCATCCCCAAAATGAGTTGCCTGAATATAAACATGACAGTTCACTTTTCTGTCCCTTTATGTTATGTACACTGCAGTATTGCATCTTCAATTAATTATCGTTCATAGAATTTTATAGTGTAATTTGTTGCTATGATATTCTGTTATTTTCATACTATTTAATTGGTTTCATGATGCTTATTTATATTTGTATTTTATGATCAGGTACATAGGAGAGGTGCAGTCTGAGAAGTCAAAACAGAATCGTTCAGTGGTTGGGAATCAACACTACTCTATCCCAAACCCTATCATCACTGTCACTGAACACACTCCAACTCCTTCACCAGATTACATGAAAAGACAGGTAATCTGTTTTACGTAATTATTGTTTAAAATTTTTAAATTCTATCACAGTAGGTCTTAATACTTTCTTAAATTAGGCTTTTGCAATCTCCATGCTGTCTGTGTGTCTGTGAATCCCCCACCCCTATTAACTTTTGAATGCTTGAAATAATATTTATGAAACTTGGTATGTATATCATGGCAACTGAGTCCATTTCAGCATACTTCATAAATCTTTCCCATTGGCCTGAGTGTTTGTACATGTATCCCTATCATTGATAGGCAAACACTCAGTAAAGTGTATCCCTTCTTTCGTTGCCAGACAATCGCTTGGTAAACACACCCCTGTGGCAGTGAATACACACAAAAATAGAAGAAATGTTGAATGCATGTGTCTGTGGGTTTGTGTGTCCCTGCATCGCTGCTAGGTATCAGCTTGGTAAATACGTCCCCGCAACTGTGAAGAATTGTTGGAGACATTGTTTTCAGCGCTGTCCATGTCACATACGAAAGAAAGTCAGCAAATAATTCTTTCCAGAACATCTTGTAATATAATACTGTATTTTAGCATCCTGTTACACCATTTTCTAGACCAAAGAAAACTAGCCAAATTGCAGTGGTTACAGGATCCAAGTGAAATAAATAGGAATAATCTGAGCAATATAAGACACAGAACCAGCAGGCATTTCAGGAATAAAATGAGGGAATATCTGAAAGACAAATTTTCTTAGTTTGCAATGAACAGCAATGACTGGCCCATGTCCAAACTGAGTTCCGCTTTCTATGCAGTTAGGGCTATTAAACCATATATGTTATTAGAATCAATGAGATCAGTATATTTTTCATATTTTCATTGTATTATGACATATGGCCTGATTTTCTGGGGTAATTCACCCCTCGGCATCCATATCTTTAGACTACAGAAGAGGGTAATGAGTCATCACCAATTCTAGAAGTAGAGATTCTTGTAGGGAGTTGTTTAAGAGATTAAAGATTCTGCCCCTTTACTCACAGTACATTTTTCCATTTTGTTGTTTGTGATCAAAAACAAAAACCTATTTTTATCTAATTCTGAGATTCATACAATCAACACAAGACATAGTAATAACCTCCATTATCCCTCGTGTAACTTAACTGTCTTTCAAAAGGGAACATATTTTGGAATTAAAATTTTTAAATAAGCTTCCACTTAATATAAAAGACCAAGTTCATGAGATTAGAAAATTTAGTCTGCTGTTAAAAGATTCCTATTTTTAAATTCATTTTATTCATTGGACGAATATTTTAACTGTGACAGCAATTAAAGTAATGGATGTGTTACGGGTGGTAGTTGATAGCGCTTTATTGTTATAGATGACAGTTTTTGTTCATGTTGTATATTGTTAATATTTTTGACTGATATGACATTACACAATTGTGATGCAGTATGTGATGTTTACTCATGTTGACTATTTCTATATCTAGGGCCCGGATTTTTATGACCTAAAAACTATAAATATATGCATGCACTTATGACCCAAAATTATGTCAAGTATGACCTAAAAAGTGTAAAATATGACCTTAAATATTAAATGGGACATAAAATTTCACAATTTTAATTAAAACTTTTACTAGATTTTAAGAATAAAGATGATGAATATATTGTAACGTGATAGTAGGTCCTACTTACCAAATTAGCCCTATTATGTCTCTGAAGGAAATAAAACTGATGGAATTTCGACATTTCGTACTGGATTAAACCATTCATTGTTTTCTTTTTAATTATGATATTTGCGTTCATATTTTAGACAAACACTGGTGCACATGGTATGAACACTAACTTAACTCTGTTATCTAAAAACACCATTTAAAAGAACACAAGCTATTCACGTCTCAATTTTCACTGAGTTATTCACGTCTCAATTTTCACTGTTACAATTGCAATTTATAACTACATGCATTTTCAAATTTTCAAATTTGAAAGATCGCCGATTATCACTAAGGATAGTTTTGTATTTGGAAAAACTTCGTTCCACATCACATGATGTGACAGGAGCATATTTGAAGAATGTCAAGTCGTTTGGTGA